ACACTCGCACGTACACATGCACACTTACACACACATACACACACATAAACACACACACACACACACACACACACACACACACACATGCACACACCAAGGACCTAACTGTATACCCCCTTGGCACACTATTAACCGTCACATAATAATCAAGGGAAATAAGCATTGTAGCAGGACAACCTGAGGATTACATGAGTTGTGTACCTACTATCAATGTGGATACGGATACCTTGCGGGCTTTGGTGCTTGGGGGAACTGGTACTTATGGATCTGTCCGGTGTGCAATGACGTTGTTGCCCAGGACAGGTAATACAGGTAATACCTTAATGATTCTGACAAAGAGTGGAAAACCTAACGGAAACAATTATTAAAGAGAAGGGGGTGGCGTAGGATTACAAAAAAATGGTGTATTCAATTATACGACGAGAAACACGGTTACTTTTGTCTCCACCCCGCCTGACAGGCACGTTTTAGGCAAAAACGCTGCACGTTTTGGCATAATATTATTTTCACAACCATGACTGGAGAAACATGTCACACAACATTGTTCCTGTGTCTGCGTTCTTACGGTATTTAAGAGTAAACGTATTTCACCCAGAAGACCGGAATCTTTTGCTCTGGTAAGTGTTTTACAACTTTCGCAACTGAATACGGCCATATGAGCGGGCGGGACAAATAGAACATTTTCAGTTTGGTAGGCATTACTTTTGAATTTTACCCGGTTGTCGGTCAAAGCCTACTCTTATCGATTTTGGAGCACCGAGAGATCTTAAACGTGCGCAACGTGCACACGGGACCTCCGAGATTTTCGCCTGTATCCGAAAAGATTAAGTCCTAGATCTTACTTACCCGAAGATCAGGAGTGTGGCTGAAAGACAGCAGTAAGAAGGAGCCAAGGAGTAGCAGTAAAAAGGGGGCAGAGCTGTGTTTACACGGGAGTGGGCGCTATAGAATTAATGATCTTAATTATTAGAAAGAACCAGGAGCCTAGAGGAGGGGATAAAGGGTCGGCGGGGTGGGGGTGGGGGT